TGTCTGCCGCCCCCCTGCCCTGCCCCTCCTGCCGCCCGTGAACGGCTGCTGCGGCCTCCTCCCCCGCCGCGGGCTCAGCGTCGGCCTCTCTTCTCGGCTTTTTTTTTTGTTGTTGTTGTTCTTTGTTCGTTTTAGAATTTCTTACCTTTGAAATTTCTACCAAATGCGGTTGAAACTGGCCACTAGCTTCCCAAATAACGGGGGGAAGCTGTTGGCAGGAGCTGGTGGAGAAACACGCAGAGAAGACGTTGCATAAATTTCACTTTCTTAGGCCGCGTTGTACCCAACAGACCTCCGTTGCACAACTTTGCCCTACAGGCTTTCTTGAGAGTGTAAATACCGAACGTAAATTCTGCAAATTAACGAAGGAGGGAGCGAAGCAGGCCTAGACACATAGAGATATCACATCCCATGTGGTGAAGCCGATCTAATTGATCTAACGAAGCCACAACGGTGCTTTCATTACAGCTTTTCATAGTGTGCTGCACTGCAGGATACTTTGTGCTCACTGCAAAGGCTTAAGAATACCAGTCCCCATTGCTTCAGCAACTGTTTGGTTTTTCTTGAGGGAAAAGGTAGCATCAGGTATCCAGCACAGACTACCATAGAGCTACTACAGCTGATATTAGCTACATCTCAATTATCGCAGAATTAAACCGATGTTCTGTAAAATGTCTTTGTGAAGCAGCCATTAAAAAAAAAAGGCTCCCACCCACAAAAATAGAGCAAGTGGAATGTGGAAACCATGACATATCACTGTTACTTGATAAAAATATATTAACACAGAAGTCTGGGGTTATTTGTCACTTCCCGGCAAATGTTTTTATTGGGTTGTTTCATGTTCACCAGACTTGCACTCTCAGGTTCACACAGAGCCTGAACAGTGCCCTGGCATCATCTCTGCAGCTTTCTTAGCTTGTTACAGCCACAAGTAGCAGTAAAACAACAGGGAAATCACGATCAGTAGGCCATTAGAGGAAAATTAGATGAACGTGCTTTCAAACAAACATATTACAGAAACAGGAATGTGCTAGTTCCAGGATTGTACGCAAGAGAATGGTTCCAAAAGATGAATCATAATTTGTTATTTTTGGGCTTTCTAAGAGTGGCACAGATAGCAGGATGCTCTCTATAACAGTTGGGGAAGGTAGCATTCAGGCTTCATCTCACCCAGCTTTAGCAGTCTAAAAGTCCAGGTGAAACTGTTCATCTATGCTTCCTCCTCAGTGAGTGAAAAGACAAAGCTGGCATCACCATAGAGCAATTTGTCCCACCTGAAGATGGGCATCTAAGATGCGTTCTTGTGGCGCTCTGCTCTCTCAGGAACAGAGTACTCCCGCTTTTGGGCAGATAAGAGACTTTAATGCTCCTTTTCTAAATTTACAGTAGCAAAACAAACATTCCTTTCGAGGCTAGAGCTCTTAACCAATTTGGACACGGAGCATTCACCTTTGCAACCCAAATGGCTGCACAGAAGCAAAGACAAAAAACACTGCCATATTTACTGAACTTGGCAATGGGATAACTCGGCAGTGTCAACAGGCGCCAAAGTGCACTGACCAAATGAGGAGTTACAGTAGAGAGGAGTATCAGCAGACAGTGGGTGGGCAGGCTATTGGCCTAGCCTAGTGTTATAAATACCTCGTCTTCCTAGAAATTAGTATAATCTCTGTGACACTTAGCTGGGGTTGACAGCACAATTCTCACAGTAGCCGCGGGCACAAATTTGGATAACCAGAATATAAGGTCAGCTTTATGGATTAGTTTACAAGGAATCCTCAGAAAATGATTAACTGAGAAGCACGCATAAGCATTCAAGGCTGGTACATTTGGTAGAGTGGAAGAAATAGGGACAAATGGTAGTGTAAAGTGTAAACACACGGGACAAAAAGTAAATATATACATTTATTATGTTACATTTATTATAAATATTTCATTCACCTCAGAAAATTAACAAAAAAACAACGGAACCCTTTCAAGACAAAAGCTGGATTTATCTTGGAAACACTGGCTCTTAGCAATATGCTTTTTTAGAACAAAGCCAATCCACTTCATATAAAACGAAGGGTGATTTAAATAAAGGACATAATAATAATGTGTTTAAAGCTATATTGATATCAACAAGGAATAAGGGATGTCGTAGTGTAACAGGTGTAGGATGTGCTTTGCAGAGCTGTACTTTGTTACTCTAAAGGAAGGACATGGTGCTTTACAGTACGTTAACAAAAAAATACCCTAAAATGTCCCCTCCTCTCCCCAGTCCTTTTGTGCAACCTTTACCATCTTCAATAGTAGAAACAGCCAAACGCAGCTACCACACAGAACAGGCTATCCTGGAGAAAAACAGGGGAAGGCTCTGCATTAATAAAGACAAACTCTTTGCTAGCCTAATTGAAACATAGCTAACATTTAGATCTGAACATTAAAAATTGTTAATAACCTTATACTGCCATATATTGCAAGTTTTTGTCTTTTAGTCAGCGTCTTACTCACCTCAGGTCTGTCTCTCTCAATGCCAAAAGAGCCTCAGTTTACTCCTTTCAAACACCCAAAGCTGTCAATGTGCTGTTTCTGTGTGGACTCAAAAGCGTCTCAGTTTTGTCAGAGCTGAATAGCTTATCCCTTGTCTCCTGCCTTCACCTCTCCAGGACCCTAAGCTGAGTGTCCCTCTGGGCTCCACCTGGAGGGTGTTCTCAGAACATCTTTCCTAATACAGGATCCGCATGCATTGCTGTGGCGGGTCCCACCATATTCTCAACTGCAGCTCAAGAAAGAGGCAACGATGATCCAGGACTGCGTAAAGCACGAAAAATCTCTGTTGCAATCTCCAAAAGCCAGTCTGGGGGAATGCCCTAACCACCAAAGAGCAATGCTCCTGCTTGTAGCCTCTAGTTCATGAAGAGCATGTTCTGCTTCCTGAACAGTACATAGCCTGGCACCTTAGAGCACTGTCTAGAAAATGAGAGCAGAGTCTGAATCCTTTCAGAGACAATTTAACCTGGAAAGTGCTCTAACCATGGAGACAGGACAGTAAGAAGGTTTGAAAAGAAAACCTTGACTTTTCCTCAGTCCTGGATTCTAGCCAGACTCTTCTACAGGTGTTCAGCAAAGCATTTAAGACTTACGTTTCATCATTTCCAGTGCTTCTGCTTCCCATCTGTAAAACTGGGGTGACTATACTGACTTTTGTACAGTACTGTGATCTACTCAAGGAATTAGTTTTACCGTATTGGGTATTATAGCTATGTACGTTTTGTGAATGAGGACGTACATCATACTCTTCTGACACAGTGCTAATTCCTTCCAAATGGTCTAGCGGTTGCCTTTATGTGTTCCATATTATAAGATCGCTATCTGTCACACAAGAAGCAGTAGCTTTATACTTCCCCATGGTAAAAGAGCCAATACTTACATTCATAAAAACATCATGAGCATAGCTGTCAGTGTCAGCATCCCAGAAACATCGTGCAGCCATGCTAGACAGAGGAGACAGAGCAAAGCCGTTATCCACAGAGTCCATGAGTAAGGACCTAAGGGATCACAGATACTTTCCCTGGAAAGCAACCCGTGCTTCCCTTAAAGGGAACTGGAAGCACTTCCTGAATCCTGAGCCTAGATCCCTACTGCTGAATTCCACCACATATTGTACCCCCTCTGTATACTGATCAAGCTCCATCTCCTAACTCATCGGCTGTCAACCCTGCCACCTCCGCCGTGCAGCAGTGAGGTCTTGAAACCTCACTGCTCCAGTGCTTAAGAATCTTTTTAACTTCTGGCCTATGCGTATCGGTAGCTAAGTTAGGCTACTTGTTCTTGTCCTTCACCAGCAGCACCCTTGCGGAGTGTACTCCCGATTTATTTATAGGTCGCTATCGTATTGCTTGGCAGCCTTTGCGTTCCTAGATTGCGAGCTCAGCTCTCCCAGCCTTTTCACATGTAGGCTCTCTGCCCTCTGACCATCCTGGTGGCTCTTTTCTGCGTCTGCTTCAGATGTCTAACGGCACTGACACTCCCCTTTCTCTACAGGAATTGCCCAGCTCTTTGTCTGCCCCAATCAGTCTCAGCTGACAAGCTCCCCATTTGCCGTGCGGCAAATTGTTCCTAGTCTCGACACGTATGACTTATTTCTATTGTTGAATTTCATCCTTTTTCTATTACTTTAGCCCTCAGGGTCATCCTTCTTTTCTGTCCAACATTCCAGTCTTCCTCTGGAAAGTCTTAGTTATCCGACGTTTTGTACCAAGGGTATTAGTGATTATGGTTTAATCTAGCCTCCTGCCTATTGCAAACTGGAGAATTTCCCCAGCTGCTCCTTACAATCCATGTTGCTCGGCTTGATGTTTCAAATCAGACCATCTCATTGAACCGTTCACTGTGGTACAGTGCCTTTGGAGTAGTCTGCCTGCAGACGGACATTGCTGGCAAAAGCCTGAACAGCAGGTACAGGTGTTCCTGCCCGACCTTCAGAACATTGAAGCAGCAGATCTGATTACTGCTCTGCTGTACTTATCTTCTACTCAAGCACCCAGGTACAATAACAAAGATAAGCCCAGCAGACAAGGCACATACACCTCATGGGCTGTTCCCTTTTGTTTTCTCCTTACTCAGCAGTAATGGAAAGCTACAACCACTACAGCAGCAAAGAGGAATGCTTATTTCTGGCTGCAGGCATCCGGGGCTAGATTTCAAGTGCTTAGCCGCCACAGTTGAGACTAAATTTCCATGACAGTACAGCACAGGGATTATAGAAATTTATACTTCTGAAAAAATGCTTATTTGGGGGAGATTAAATGGAAATGGAGTACTTACGGAAATCAAGCCTTAAATCAGGATTTAGACACAAGTGAGTTACCATGGCTCTTGTGCACCAGCAGGGCCTCGATAACAGACTGGATGCATGCTCTACTCCATCAGGAATATAAGGTAAAATGTCTTCCTGTAACACTCCTCACAATTGCTCCTCAGCATTTCTCCTTGCTAAGAACCACCATACACTCAATTATCATAGCTCAACTGACTCATAGTAACTCAATTAGCCACAGTAGGGAAATTGTGTCTCTAAGCCCTCACTTGCGTAAAGCCATTTAAAGAGAAAAGAAAGTGCTTTACATTTTAGCCCCTGCAGAGATGTTTTTGTATCTAGGAAAGTCAGGAGCAGTTCCCAAAGGGAAAAAAACCATACACACACAACAAAAGCAATAGAAATGCAATTAGAACAGGCAGAACTTACTTTACTCCTTCTCCTCTCTGTTCTCCAATCACAACCTGCACAACCATTTTGTATCTGTCAAATCCCTCATCTGGGGAAAAAAAAGTGAGAACAACTTCAAACTCTATACTTATTTTAAATATGATAACCACATAACAGGACACAGACAGCTAAAGATTTCTGTTTACAAAACAGAGTCCTATACAACATAAACTACAGCATTCCAGTTCTATTCCAGTAAAGTAGAACACTAAAGTATTCCAGTTCTACAACTTTAAACACTTGAAAATAGGGAGAGAATGTCAATAAGGCTGCCACCACCAGACAAAATCCAATTTAAACAAATTGGCCTATTTTAAAACTGTTCTGATTCAAAGAAATTGTAAAGATTTTTCTGCCGCATAGGAAATTTCTTTGGCTTCAGAGCTGGGATAAAACGCCACATAAAAGCATATGCAGGTTTAAGTCACACGTCTGCAGAAATATGTGGTTCTTTCACTATTGCAAAGGAATACCTTTGTGACACAGGCCAGATCCAGTCAGGCCACGACAATGTTCCAGAAGACAAATCAGAATAAGCACATTTAAAATAAAATAAACATCCTAATGCCTTTATCTTCAACAAAGTAGTGTCCTGGGAAGACTCCAGCGCACTGTTTCCACTGGAAAATTGAACACAACATGCTAGATCTGATAACATCCACCACGTAAAGGCCTATCAGAGATGGCGGCTGGAACAACAGCCACACCAGGCCAGTCTTGCTTCAGGCTATTGTGAGTGTGTGTACAGACCTCTGAAGCCAAGCTCTGCGCATATTAGCGTGGCATCAACACATACTGGGACTACAGCTGCTGCTCATTTAAAGATAGATGCATAACTCTGGGAGAAGCGAATGCATGGAGCCTGCGTGGAGGGTGACGGTATTTCTCTACGATTGCTGCACACCAGCCCCCAGCAGATGGAGCACCAGCCTGTCCCCAGAAAAACTGAACAAATGATGCCAATTCATATTTCTGTGCTTGTGCCAGCACTGAGCGCAGGAAACACCTACTGGATCCTGAAGCAAGTTTTTGCACACAAAACTGTTAGAGGGCACCCAGCACAGCACCACTAGTGCCTTTAGCCAGTGATGCAGGGCTGCATTCACATGCCTCCTTGACTGATTGCACTACTAACTCTCTCTCCCTTCACTGCTCCTGTTGGGCATTGTTCTGATCTCCCTGCTCTTCCATTCTGATCTAATTTACAGCAAAAAAACCCAACCCGGCCTAATTCTGTTTATTGAAGCAAGAGGCAAATAAGCATCACTTATCCTTTCCTCTAATACATCTTATTTCTCTCTGGAATCTGTCCAAGAGTGACGTCCCACACTAGCCACTCCATATGAAAACAGATTTGTCTGTTCCTCTAGGCGAGGAACATATGTATATAGGCCAGACTGTTTCATAACACTAGACTGGAGTCAGTCAATGCTGCAGGAATAAGTTTCAATAACAGAGATGGAAAGAGGGATACAATAAGGAAAGAAAAAACATCCCCAGTAAACCTCCTTACCTTTCAGTCGATCTTTGATCATCTCTGATAAGGATTTGGTAAGTTGAGGCATTTCTTCTGGGATGTACTGTACATTGGTTAACTTCTCCTTCAGTATTGCATGGATACATTCTTTTACAGTAGAAGATTTAAATCTAACAGGGCAAAAACCAGCAACAAAAGGCCCAGAAAGTTCACACAATATAAAGAAACATAGATACATGAAAGTTAACTTTTCCCAGATGGGATTATTAAAAATAACAAA